GTCTGATGGGGGAACCGTCTGATGGGGGAACCGTCTGATGGGGGAACCGTCTGATGGGGGAACCGTCTGATGGGGGAACCGTCTGATGGGGGAACGTGGCTCGACCTAAAACACCGGTCTCTGTTTAATGGTGGATGAAATAAAGAAAGTGGTGGTACTTTATTTACTTTGAGCAAGAGAACATCATGATCACAAGATACTGTAATTAATCCAGCAGATAATTCAGAGTTGGTCTGTTTGGTAAATTTTACTCCAGGAGCTGCGAGGCTTGTTGTCAAGCTTCACACTGAACTGAAGCAGCGGCTGCTGACGTCATTACACTCTTGCGCGATGCTGCGTTCAGGACAAGCATGGAAAACTCACCACTCTTATGCCAATAMDGTCRYAATGATGCATTTAGGTACCGAAATGGAATTGCATGAACATTCACCTGGTGGTTATGTAATACAGTGAATCAATAATAAAAAATCGGCGTCGACAAATTTACACAATCGATGTCATCGATTATTTCAACTAATCGGTGCAGCCCTAATTATACTGTTTTTAATATACAAATACTACACTAGTATGTCCATGTTTACTTCTGTAAACAAAGAGCTGAGTGTGAAACCACTTTATTTTCTGTCACATCAGTGCTGTGGAGAGTTTACACTGAATTGCTTGAACTCAGAAAGTGCTTTACACTTCACTCATTCACACACTGATGGTGTTAAGCTACACTGCAGCCACAGCTGCCCTGGGGCACACTGACAGAGGTGGGACAGCCATGCACCAGCGCCACCAGCAGGCAAAGCAGGTTATATATTAAATATAATACAAAGTTGCTGTATATATCCTTATCATATATTGTCACATGAAGCTGAAGCTTCTATTATGGAAATGGCTAAAGGGTGACTCCACCTAATTTTCACTATCCTATATTCTGCTTTAATTGACATTGCTTTATAGAAAATTTATTTCAATTTGTCACCGAAGGTTTTTGTTAAAAATAAAGCCAATTTATATTGACCACAACTAAGAAGTAGAAAGTTAAAAAATCCAAGGAGTTGTGTATTTTTTACACACTTTGTATTTATCTCTGACCAGGTAAGGATCCGATGATGTTTTTTATATCTTGAAAAAGTGTTTATTGTACTTTTTACTATGATCATTTTTTATATACTTATTTTTCTTGAACTCCCAGCAGCTGTCTTTTTCTCTGTCTTCAGGTCGAGTGAAGAGGTCTTGTGATGTAGGTCTTGCTGGTTTCATGGTCACCACTCTGGGCTCCTGGTACGTCCTGTTGACATATTCTTGCTATAAAAAAATTATAACTGTTTTTACCACCTGTTTTTAGTTCCATTGTTTTCTCTCCTCTTCTGTAACAGAAACTTCTCTGTTTTCAGGTTTTACTGCAGGATAAACAACGCTAAGCTCCGTTTGCAGCAGAGGGTTATACAGGAGGGCATGAAGAACATGATTTTGTATGAAGGAACTGATTTAGATCCCACAAGGAAAAAGAAATCAGACACCCCCCCAGGCCCCTCATGATGTCCTATAGTGGAC